GCTTTGGGAAGGCAGAGTGTGTGAGACGGGAGCGAGAGCAGCCTGCCCAGCGCTGGAGGAGCAGGGGGGCAATCTGGGGATGCCAATGGGAGCATCCCGTGACAGCACGTTTGGCCCGGGCTCGCTCTGTCTTCGCACCCTCCCTTACCCTCCCCCAGCTCGTGTCCATCTCTGATTCTGGTCTAAGCTGTCGGCTGGACCACAGCCTTCGTGTCCATCCCCATTCGTGCTGGCACCCGCCCTGGGGCACCCCAGGAGCTCATGCAGTGCCCGCTCCCAGCTGTCCCGTCCCGTCGCAGCTCAATGGAGACCTTGTTGCGCACGGGTGGTCCGGGACAGCCTTGTGGCATGCCGCACACTCACACTCACACTCACACACAGCCCCTGTGCGCGTGGCCCCGGCTCCACCTCCCTTGCCGTCACGCTCAGGCCCCACTGGAACATTTGTGCCGGCGAGTCAGCTGGAGCTCGGCTCCGCGGCGCTCGGTCCTGTGCTCGCCCCAGCCCGGCCCCAGCAGCGCTTGTGCCCGCGGTGGCCCCTGAGGGGCTGGGGGTGCCACCGGGAGAGCTGAGCCGGCGGGAGGAGGTGAGTTCCCGGCTCTTCGCTGCTCTCCGTGCGTTGTGCTGAGCTGGATGTTCCCCCGCGGGCAGCGGCCGTCCCTGTGCGCCCCGTGGCTCTTGCACCGCCCCGTGTGCCCTGGGTCCGCTGCCCGCTCACCCAGCGGGACGCAGGGGACCCTGGGCAGGGGCCGCGTGGGCGCTGTGCCTCAGCGGGCACTCTGAGCAAGGGCAGCTGGCGCCCTGGGGCCAGGCGGCTGGCGGGTTTTGGAGCATGCCAGAGTGGGAAACGGTGCCCGGACGGACCTCGGGGCTGTGCGGGGCTGCGCTCCTGCCCTGCGGCTTTGCACGGCGCTGGCGGCTCCGCTATGCGCCCCCGGGCAGCACGGCTGGGCATGAAAGGGCTCTTGTCCTCCTGCACGCCCTGCCCTGCGCCCAAAACAAGTGCACAGTGTTGGTGCCGGGCACGGGGCGCGGGGGAGCCGATGGGGGCAGGCCACCTGGCCCCTGGCGCGGGAGCGTGCGCCCGGGAGTGTCGTGCCCATGGCTTTGGGGCTGTGGATTTTGTGCCTCTGGGCATGGTGCCTCCTCGGCATTGCGCCTGTGTGATCTGTGCCTTCGGGTATGGTGTCCCCTGGGGTATCTGGCCTCTGGGCATTGCTGGGGAGGCTGCAAACACCCAGCTGCACCCGCTGTCTGACAGAAGCCACTTTGGGATTGTGGAACAAAAATATGATTTTTTCCCCTTTCAATCCTGCCGTGACTCACCCATCTCTGTGTCTGGAAATAACCCTGCGTGCGGCTGCAGCTGGGAACGGGGCGCGTGGCAGTGCAGAGAGGCGGCGTCTTCGGCCTCTCCCCTTCCCTGGCAAAGCTTGGGAGCCTGCTGTGGGGACGGGAGCGTGGGGGGCAATGGCAGCCGGACAGCGGTGTGATAAGTTTTCTTGGTCTCTGCACTTCCACGACTAAGAGCAGAAAAACTGCTTGGGAGGCACAAGTGGAATGTAAAGCTGCAAAGGGGGAACGAGCTGGGCAGCTTGGCACAGGGCTGGGGTCTGTGCTTGGCTGGGCAGGGATGATGCAGCCCCCCTGTGACCGCGTGCCCCAGGGCATCCCGTGGGGAGGGATTTCTTTGCAAGGGCTCAGGTGGCCCCACTGTCTGCAGAGAGGGCCAGGGCTGCTAATGGGGCTAAAGTGCTTCTGAGCAGGGCTCTGCCATCTGTGTGTCCCCAGGGGCCTGGTGGCTCTGCACTTAGCGCGGAGGCTTCAGGTTGCAGGAGCACACGCACGTGCACAAGGATGTGTGCACAGCCCAGTGTGCATCCCATGTGTGCACATGTGTGTTTGTGTGCACAGCCCGGCAGGCATCCTGCGTGTGAACATGGGGGTGTGTGTGCACAACCGGGCGTGCATCCTGCATGTGCACATGTGTGTGTGTGTGCACAGCCAAACATGTACCCCGCATGTGCACATGTGTGTGTGTGTGCACAGCCCGGTGTGCATCCCGCATGTGCATATGCGTGTGTGTGTGTGTGCACGGCCCTGCTCACACCACGCGTGTGCACATGTACATGTGTACACGGCCTCCTACCCCTCCCGCC